GACAGATATAAAAGTAAGGAACCAAGTGTAGGGTAGGTTGTAATAAGGGAAGAACAGTAAGGAAAGGAGAGGTAGAAAGGATGGAAGAAACAAGCATGAAGTGGATAAAGGAAGATGAGTGAAAATAAGTCAGAAAGGGAATGAAAGCAAGGGAAAGAAGATGGGGGAAAAGTATGAAGCGGAAGGACCAGAAGAATGAGAGGAAGGAAAGGGAGGAAGTAATTAGGGAAGGACAGGAAAAAGGAAGGAAGGAAGAAGGACAGGAAGAAGATTTAGGTACCTTTATAGTATTGTACTTAAAGTACCTACAAATTGTAAGGTTAGATATTTAGTTACTTCCTGTTGAAATTCAAATGTTACAATAATCTGCTCGGTTCAGTTTAAATGATGATAATGAAGCTTATGATGGGATGAAGATGATGAAGATGATAGTGCTGATAAAGTGATGATGATAATGAAGATGAAGATGATGTTGATAAATGAAGATGATAAAGAAATAGAACAAGAAGATGGGGATGATGAAGATGAAGGAATTGAATATGATGGTGATGATGAAGATGATGGTCAAAATGAAGATGATGAAGATGAAGATGATGGTCAAAAGGAAGATGATGAAGATGATGGTGATAATGAAGATGAAGATGATGGTCAAAATGAAGAAGATGAAGATGAAGATGATGGTCAAAATGAAGAAGATGAAGATGATGTTGATAAATGAAGATGATAAAGAAATAGAACAAGAAGATGGGGATGATGAAGATGAAGGAATTGAATATGATGGTGATGATGAAGATGATGGTCAAAATGAAGATGATGAAGATGAAGATGATGGTCAAAATGAAGAAGATGAAGATGATGTTGATAAATGAAGATGATAAAGAAATAGAACAAGAAGATGATGATGATGATGAAGATGATAGTGATAATAAAGTGATGATGATAAAGAAAATGGTGATAATGAAGATGACGAAGATGATGATGAAGGAATTGAATATGATGGTGATGATGAAGATGATGGTCCAAAGGAAGACGAAGATGAGGGTGAATCCGCTGGTCCCTCGGCCAGCTGTGAGGGACACAGCGCTCTCTCCATTAGAGTGATGAGTGATGATGTGAGCGCTGAAGGGTCCAGAGGTCAGTGAACGCACCGCCCGTCAGCGTCACGCTATCCTTCAGCTAACTCGGTTAGCATGCACTTTGCTAATGGTGTTAGCGGAGAGGCGGAGCAGAAAGCCCTCGTTCAGCAGGATGTTTCCAGCTGATCGACCTCCATCAGGACCGCGCCCCGATGCTGCGTTCAGGTCACACGGGAATAATCATCGCCGTGATTCAGCAAACTCTGAAGGGAAACTTAAAGTGTTTTCAATCATTAAGAAAAACTCAATTATACGGAGCTCCATTAGGGCCCAAAATAACTGCTGTGTTCATCCAACGTGATGCTTTCAGGAAGCTCGGCTAAAAATACAGACGGAAGAGGCTGTAGGGGAAGATTCATTTATTTATTACCGAGCTAGAATAACATCGCAAAGTAGACGTCAGAAACTTTATTCTGTGCATTGCATGTGTCACAGTGATGGATGGAAGACATGGTTATGCTTTAACAACAAGATGAAATCAGAATCTGAAGTTCATTTATATCACTTTGTTATATTATAGATTACATGTCACTTGTTAGACGCTTTTACCCAATTGATTGGTGATTGATTATTGATTGGTTGCTTGGTTGATTGATTGAACCAGTGCTCCACTGAACCACAGCTTCCCCTATGTAATCCTAAATGACAAAAACAAAAGGGTTGCTGGATTTTCAAGGAACTGCAGAAGTTCATAGTCTTGATTTTGTCCATTTATCACATTCCTGTATAAAAGACATTCTCACTAGATAAACTAAAATGTAGTGAAATTATGAAATCTAAGTCATAATTATGCTATAATAATCACAATATGGTTAAATGTCAAGTTGGTTTTCACATAAAAGGAATATTAAGTCTTGTGTTTTGGTGAATGTCACACTAAATAAGAGAAAAGGACACTTTAAAAGAGCAACAATCATGAAAACTACCATCAAAATATGAAACAATAATACAAGAATATATCCAATATATCAGAACTTAAGAAAATAAATATGAAAATATGCAACATTTCTCAGCGAAAAGCATAAAGATAACCTGCAATGCAGACAGAGATACACTTTAAATATAAAACAGTAGAAGAAGTACTTTCTTACAGCCGTAAAATGTGTAATACAGTGTATAAATACTTTCAATAACTCCCCATCATACAAGTCATGTAAAAATACTCATCATGCAGAATGACCCTTTTAATTAATATACTACTAATATCAGAATAATATTATTTATTTATTTTACTTTTATTGTCATTACACAGTACTTACTATGTAACAAAATGGTTTCTCTGCATTTGACCCATATAGTGTTAGGAGCAGTGGGCTGCCATTATGAACGGCGCCCGGGGATTATTAGTATAAAAACATACTAGATTAAAATCAATGATACATTGTGATTTAATCCGGTTTTTTTTAATATAGTGACAGTTGATTGTGCGTTATTCAGCCCTGAGTAGTGTCTGCAGGTATTCATTTAAGGCAAAATGAGGGGGAAAAGGCATACGAAGCAGTTTTGGATGTGAGCTGCAGGATAAATGCCCTCCCTAAAGTATTCTGAGAGAGCGCCCCCTACAGACTGAACTGATTAGGAGCAGAAATCAGCCCAACACACTTTAATAAGAGGGGAGTGTGTGACGAGGTGTTTTACTTTGTGACAGATCAGCTTGATTGCATAGGCTTCAAACACACACATTTGTCAAACATGTAAATCAAAACTTTATTTTATTAAATGAAAGCTGAATTTTAAATAAGTTGTGATTAAACTTGGATTGATCAGCCAATCAGGAAGCACCGTGGGGAAGTAAATCAGTTAAAACCTCAATACCAGAATCTCAATTAGCTATGTTGATTGCACTTTAGCTCCGGTGTTGATTGTTGTTCTGAAATGAATATTCAGAGACGCAGGAAGTTTGATTAGTTTGTTTCCCCGGATCGATCGCTGATGACGATCAGGTGTAATAATGAGGAGGTTTGTGTGACAGAATCTGTGTTTGAACTCAATTAAATTATGTAAATTACAGCAAGTGTCACGGAGCAGCTGTGAGAAACAGAGAAACACTTTTTACAGATTCACTCGACATGTTTCACAGATATTTATTTCTGCTACGAGGAAACTTTATTTGAGTGTCTCGACTGCAAACAGAATTTATACAGGAGGAGGTTTTTGTTCAGAGGACGTTTATAGAAAAAGACCGACAGAAAATGCTCAATCTTTTTAAATGAAATATTACTTTGATTACATCTTATTTGATGTAACTGTAAGGGAATACTATTTCCTTTTTGTTGTATCCTGATTACATAGATCTGTAACTTCCCAAGCCTGGAGATTGACACAAGGATGTGTGTGTGTGTGTGTGTGTGTGTGTGTGTGTGTGTGTGTGTGTGTGTGTGTGTGTGTGTGTGTGTGTGTGTGTGTGTGTGTGTGTGTGTGTGTGTGTGTGTGTGTGTGTGTGTGTGTGGGCCTTGTGGGGACCTAAATCTGTTTACACAGTCACGTGTGGGGACTCGCCTCCCTTATGGGGACAAAAATGGAGGTCCCCATGAGGGGAATCATACATTTTAGGGTTAAGACTTGGTTAGGTTTAGGGTTAGGGTTAGGGTTAGGGTTAGGGTTAGGCATGTGTTGGTTATGGTTAAGGTTAGGATAAGTCTCCAGGAAATGCATGTAAGTCAATGTAATGTCCCCTGAAGTGATGTATACAGTACATGGTATGTGTGTGTGTGTGTGTGTGTGTGTGTGTGTGTGTGTGTGTATGTGTGTGTGTGTGTGTTTGTGTGTGTGTGTGTGTGTGTGTGTGTTTATATTTGTCCAGTTTCCCTAAGTGTCTTTGTCTTTGTGGAGCTGAACTGTGAAACAACTGTTGATGTACAAAAAAAAACGTTGATTCCGGTCGAAGTATTTCAAAGCGGGCAGGAAGTGAGTCAGATCTCCGTCTTGTAAACAGGACAAATCTTTGATAAACAGTTAGTTTTGATTAATAGAAACCTCGGGGGGTCTGTAGGAAACACACTTCACACACACACACACACACATACCATGTATACATCACTTCAGGGGACATTACATTGACTTACATGCATTTCCTGGAGACTTATCCTAACCTTAACCATAACCAACACATGCCTAACCCTTACCCTTAACCTTACCCTTACCCTAACCCTAATCCTAAACCTAACCAAGTCTTCACCCTAAAATTAATGATTCCCCTCATGGGGACCTCCAATTTGTCCCCATAAGGGAGGCCAGTCCCCACACGTGACTATGTAAACAGATTTAGGTCCCCACAAGTATAGTAATGCTAGGCCGCACACACACACACACACACACACACACACACACACACACACACACACACACACACACACACACACACACACAGGCATTGAAAAATGGTTTTCATGTGTTGGAGTCAAATGGAGGCTCTTGGTGTGTTTAGCAGAATACTTGAATGTATTTATACAGTATTTAAATACTTATTTTGGTAAAACAATAAGTACTGTTGGAAGGAAACTAATAAATATATTATTTAGAAAATAACATATGCAAGAAGCCTGTGGAAATAATAACTTGAAGAGAGATGTGAACTATGATTCCCAGAATGCATTTCACTGACAAAGATCCAATCACTGTTATATACAGTATGTGTTAACCTCTGACTTGCTTTTAACTGCATAGCAACAGCAACAAAATAAATCAAATGTATTTAATTGACAATTCACTTATTTTATGTTTATGTGTATTCGTGTTTTATTTATGTCCTTACTTCATAATTGTATTTATTTTTATTTGTATGTATTACTTTACTTTACTACCTCCATACAAATCATCTGTACTGAACAGGAAAGAATAGATACATTAATTAATTAATAATACTTCCTCCTCCTCTTCAGGTTTTTCCGGGGCGAGTACACGGTTGAGGTGGCGATCAACGACTACCTGGACATCTACTGTCCGCACTACGAGTGGCCGGAGCCCTCAGACCGCATGGAGCACTACATCCTGTACATGGTGAACTACGACGGGTACACGTCCTGCGATCACCACCGAAAGGGCTTCAAGCGCTGGGAGTGCAACCGGCCGCAGAGCCCCAACGGGCCGCTCAAGTTCTCCGAGAAGTTCCAGCTCTTCACTCCCTTCAGCCTGGGCTTCGAGTTCAGGCCGGGACACGAGTACTACTACATCTGTGAGTACACACACTGAGTACTTATACACACACCAAGTGCTCCTACATCTGTGAGTACACACACTGAGTACTTATACACACACCAAGTGCTCCTACATCTGTCTGTACACACACTGAGTACTTATACACACACCAAGTGCTCCTACATCTGTGAGTACACACACTGAGTACTTATACACACACCAAGTGCTCCTACATCTGTGAGTACACACACTGAGTACTTATACACACACCAAGTGCTCCTACATCTCTGTGTACACACACCGAGTACTTATACACACACCAAGTGCTCCTACATCTGTGAATACACAGACTGAGTACTACTAAATCTGTGAATAAACACACTGATTACTACTATATCTGTCTGTACACACACTGAGTACTTATACACACACCAAGTGCTCCTACATCTGTGAGTACACACACTGAGTACTTATACACACACCAAGTGCTCCTACATCTGTGAGTACACACACTGAGTACTTATACACACACCAAGTGCTCCTACATCTGTGAGTACACACACTGAGTACTTATACACACACCAAGTGCTCCTACATCTGTGTGTACACACACTGAGTACTTATACACACACCAAGAGCTACTACATCTGTGAGTACACACACTGAGTACTACTGTATACTACTGAGCATTACTGAGTCATACTACATATGTGAGTACACACACTGAGTACTTATACACACACCAAGTGCTTTTACATCTGTGAGTACTACACAAAAAGTACAGACACACCTGTACTGTAAATACACATACTGAGTACATATACACCTGAAAATGCACACACCAAGTACTACAACACCGTTCATCTGTGAGTACACACACCATGTACTAATACACACACCAAGAACAACGACATATGTGAGTACACACACCAAGTACTACTACGTCTGTGAGTACACACACCAAGTACTACTACGTCTGTGAGTACACAAACCGAGTATACTGTAGATACACACACCAAGAACGACTACGTGAGTACACACACTGAGTACTACTACATCTATGAATAAATACGAGTACTACTACATCTGTGAGTACACACACTGAGTACTAATACCACAGTGAATACTATTCACAATTCATAATTAGTAACACTTTGCGAGACACTATATCCTACTGATCCTCACTGAGTACCACATCTGTGAGCACTACACATAGAGTACTACTACATCTGTGAGTACACACACTGAGTACTACTGTATACTACTGAGCATTACTGAGTCATACTACATATGTGAGTACACACACTGAGTACTTATACACACACCAAGTGCTTTTACATCTGTGAGTACTACACAAAAAGTACAGACACACCTGTACTGTAAATACACATACTGAGTACATATACACCTGAAAATGCACACACCAAGTACTACAACACCGTTCATCTGTGAGTACACACACCATGTACTAATACACACACCAAGAACAACGACATATGTGAGTACACACACCAAGTACTACTACGTCTGTGAGTACACACACCAAGTACTACTACGTCTGTGAGTACACAAACCGAGTATACTGTAGATACACACACCAAGAACGACTACGTGAGTACACACACTGAGTACTACTACATCTATGAATAAATACGAGTACTACTACATCTGTGAGTACACACACTGAGTACTAATACCACAGTGAATACTATTCACAATTCATAATTAGTAACACTTTGCGAGACACTATATCCTACTGATCCTCACTGAGTACCACATCTGTGAGCACTACACATAGAGTACTACTACATCTGTGAGTACACACACTGAGTACTACTGTATACTACTGAGCATTACTGAGTCATACTACATATGTGAGTACACACACTGAGTACTTATACACACACCAAGTGCTTTTACATCTGTGAGTACTACACAAAAAGTACAGACACACCTGTACTGTAAATACACATACTGAGTACATATACACCTGAAAATGCACACACCAAGTACTACAACACCGTTCATCTGTGAGTACACACACCATGTACTAATACACACACCAAGAACAACGACATATGTGAGTACACACACCAAGTACTACTACGTCTGTGAGTACACACACCAAGTACTACTACGTCTGTGAGTACACAAACCGAGTATACTGTAGATACACACACCAAGAACGACTACGTGAGTACACACACTGAGTACTACTACATCTATGAATAAATACGAGTACTACTACATCTGTGAGTACACACACTGAGTACTAATACCACAGTGAATACTATTCACAATTCATAATTAGTAACACTTTGCGAGACACTATATCCTACTGATCCTCACTGAGTACCACATCTGTGAGCACTACACAAAGAGTACTACTACATCTGTGAGTACACACACTGAGTACTACTGTATACTACTGAGCATTACTGAGTCATACTACATATGTGAGTACACACACTGAGTACTACTACATCTATGAATAAATACGAGTACTACTACATCTGTGAGTACACACACTGAGTACTAATACCACAGTGAATACTATTCACAATTCATAATTAGTAACACTTTGCGAGACACTATATCCTACTGATCCTCACTGAGTACCACATCTGTGAGCACTACACATAGAGTACTACTACATCTGTGAGTACACACACTGAGTACTACTGTATACTACTGAGCATTACTGAGTCATACTACATATGTGAGTACACACACTGAGTACTTATACACACACCAAGTGCTTTTACATCTGTGAGTACTACACAAAAAGTACAGACACACCTGTACTGTAAATACACATACTGAGTACATATACACCTGAAAATGCACACACCAAGTACTACAACACCGTTCATCTGTGAGTACACACACCATGTACTAATACACACACCAAGAACAACGACATATGTGAGTACACACACCAAGTACTACTACGTCTGTGAGTACACACACCAAGTACTACTACGTCTGTGAGTACACAAACCGAGTATACTGTAGATACACACACCAAGAACGACTACGTGAGTACACACACTGAGTACTACTACATCTATGAATAAATACGAGTACTACTACATCTGTGAGTACACACACTGAGTACTAATACCACAGTGAATACTATTCACAATTCATAATTAGTAACACTTTGCGAGACACTATATCCTACTGATCCTCACTGAGTACCACATCTGTGAGCACTACACATAGAGTACTACTACATCTGTGAGTACACACACTGAGTACTACTGTATACTACTGAGCATTACTGAGTCATACTACATATGTGAGTACACACACTGAGTACTTATACACACACCAAGTGCTTTTACATCTGTGAGTACTACACAAAAAGTACAGACACACCTGTACTGTAAATACACATACTGAGTACATATACACCTGAAAATGCACACACCAAGTACTACAACACCGTTCATCTGTGAGTACACACACCATGTACTAATACACACACCAAGAACAACGACATATGTGAGTACACACACCAAGTACTACTACGTCTGTGAGTACACACACCAAGTACTACTACGTCTGTGAGTACACAAACCGAGTATACTGTAGATACACACACCAAGAACGACTACGTGAGTACACACACTGAGTACTACTACATCTATGAATAAATACGAGTACTACTACATCTGTGAGTACACACACTGAGTACTAATACCACAGTGAATACTATTCACAATTCATAATTAGTAACACTTTGCGAGACACTATATCCTACTGATCCTCACTGAGTACCACATCTGTGAGCACTACACATAGAGTACTACTACATCTGTGAGCACTACACATAGAGTACTACTACATCTGTGAGCACTACACATAGAGTACTACTACATCTGTGAGTACACACACTGTAAACTACTGAGCATAAGTGATTACTACCACATCTGTGAATACTTAATAACTCTGGGCACATTCAGCATCCATGTATTCTTTGTATTGCTAATATATCTGTTTATTTTGGGTTTGTGGAGGGTGAAATGTGCTTTATTTACCATTAACACTATTTGAACCTGCTGTCCCTCTTTAATTTGTAATGAAAAGGTAGAAAGTGTGTTTACGGAGGGAACGTGTCCTCAACTTGAATTGACCCCCCTCTGCCTGCTGCTTCCACTTGACCTCAGATGGCCTCTGTCACAAATGTCACTTAGTAAACAGTGTCTTCTTCCCAACATGCTGATAAGAGCTTTAATGATGTGTTTATCAGACAGATTATGGCGTGTGTGTTTGTGTTCATGTGTGTGTGTTATCATTACAGGCTTTTAAACATGTGGTGCTAAAAGCATTATCATTAGCACTGAGGGACAAACAGCTTCTGGTTTTAATAAGGCGATTACACCCCCCCCCCCCCCCCCTCCTTTGTTCCACACCTGCTCAACATGTTAAGTACATCAGTGTGTAACAACACGATGCAACAAGTGAAACACACTCTCTGGAAGTCTTTAAAGGATTGTCTTTTAATGGAGCCAGGCTAATAATTTCCCTCTGCTTCTCAGACTTTTTGAAGTGTCTACGAGAATTTTTTTTTCAAAATTGGTTATATTAAAGGGGACCTATCGTGCTAAATGCACTTTGTGATGTATTTTATACATGAATATGTGTCCCCGGTGTGTCAGGGAACTCACGCAGCATCAGAAAATAAAACCCTCTCTCTTTTCCTCCGTACCCAAATCTTTTAAAAACGGGGGAACAACGAGCTGATACCGATTTGCTGCCGATCTGACGTCAAATCGACGGCGGACCCACAGAGAGTTGCTATCAGAAACAATGCCTGACGTGTTTTGGACGTAATCTGGTCTTTGTTTACATTAGCAAGCCTCGCTAACACTCAGACCTAACCTGTTCAGGTACCATTGTAAAGCCCCCATGTCGATCCTACGCTGTCATTGGAGGCAGTCGCAATTTCTACAGGCTCGCACTACCTGTTAGCATATGGCATCTGTTAGCATCCAGCTCTCCTGCTTACAAACTTGTAGCCATCCCTGCTTA